TTATCTCCTAAAGCTCTCGCAGTTATTGTGCAACTGTGGTCTTTTGAACAAAGACTCAGGCAAGCGCCTGCTCATGGTGGATGGTGGAGTACCACTGCCCCTCCTGTGGCAATCCAAGTGAGCTAAGGTAAGTGGTTTCATTGTCCCTAACAAAGTAGGACGGTTTCAATAGGTAGTTTTCTACCGCATTTATGTGGCCAGTGTTTAGACTTTTTCTTCATAATTTGATAAAACTAAAGATGGCTATGAAGAAAGTATTTAATATCCCTAGAAGATCAGCAAAGCATTTATACTGAGATAAAAGAAATTCAATTCACAGTTGCAGACTCGGAATCCGACAAAAGAGCTGTTATCAACCGATTAGCAACCAAGATATATTCAGACAGTCCTCTCAAATCTCCTCGCCAAGCACTGGGCCAGAAAGAGTGGCAATCTTCTAGACATAAAGAAAACCTCGGAGACAGTGTTAGGTAGAAAAGCACTTTCTAAAAGCCGTTACCTCTTCTCCACTCTCACTTTTCACAACTTGCTGGGCTTTCAGAACTTTAGTTGATGCGATTGCTGACGCCAAAGCCTAGGCCGGGGTGAGAAGAACAAATGTGGAACACGGATTTCCTTTCCTGCATCTCAGCATGCACTTCAGTCATCTAAAACACTAACCTCCGCCTTCAGGTCTGAACGGATTCGTACCACGCATCTTTGAACAGCCATTTGAAAAGTAAAGCTAATAACTCCTTTAATTTTTAGCAAAGCCTCTTCACATAGATTTCGCCGAGACTGAAAAATAAACAGCATATTGCTTTCAAAATAGTTGAACAATAAAAGGGAGTAAATCAATTCAAGCCCCAGTTAGGGTCAACTAGTCGCTACATTCGAGAAGCAAATGATCCTATTTCTGTTCTACCGTCTCATATTTTGGGAGCAGAGTACTTAATTAACTTTATTAAATTGTACAAGATTAATAGAGTAATAATTCCTATCCTGATATATTTTCAAGCTTCATTGCTAATATTAAGTTCTAATAATTTTTATCCAAAATACATTAAACAGCATTGATTTATATCTTACAGCTATCTATCAGAAGAGAACTAAGAATAAATAGCCCAAAGAAAATGCTGAAAGGCAGAGATTCTTCTAGCACAAGATTAAATAATCTATGGCCTACCCGTTGATTGTGTGAATAGTTTTCCTGGAACACAGCCATACCCATTTCTGTAGACACTGCCTATATTTGGCAACTTGCATGTTAAGGTAGTTACTAGATAAAACAGAGTGCATATGGCCTGCAAAGCCACAAATATTTACTCTATGTTTCTTTACAGAAAAAAAAGTTTTACAGCTCTTACTCTAACTTAAAAATCTCTGGGGTTAAGTTCTAATAGAGTCAAGTAAGAATCAGGATGCATTCGGTGTTTAAGTCATTATTTCTCAAACCAGTTAATATTTATAAAGCAGTCGTGCTGCTGCATCCTTCTCTTATGACATTCTAAATGGATACTATGTGGTTGGAGTTTGTGTCAACTAGACACTTTGGGGGATGGAGGGGTGGAGCCCAGCCTATGAATCTGGCCTCAGTCTGGTGACACCTCCTTGGGGGCGTGGCCTTGTGTATAAGAAAGAGGTCCAGAGCATGGCTAGCCTCTTTTGCCCTTCGCCTTGTGCTGGAGCTGGATCCAGCACCTGATTTGTCAATCTTCTGTTGTGCCACCTGCCAATGCCAGGAACAGACTACTTACCTTGGATTCATCCGGCCAACCTCGGATTCATTACTTCTGCATCCACCAACTTGTGGGCCCTCCTGCTTCAACATCCCGCTTCCTGTTTGTCTGCTTCCACAGCTACACTAGTCAGGAGAAGCCTGACTTGGACTGGACTGGGCTTACCTACTCCTGCACTGTGTGAGCCATTTCTTAATACTAGTCTCTTTCTACAGACAAACACACACAAGCATCACTGGTTTTGCTTCCCTAGAGAACCCAAGCACAGCAACCACTGCAGCTTTAAGGGTTATCAACAGTCTCTTTTGGGTCCTCGTGATCTTCTGACGGTGCTAACAACTCAGCATAATACATAACCTAACCTTCAGCTCTTTCGGGGGGATGGTTACCAGCGGGGGAGGAGGGGGAGCAACAGGTGTTAGCAACAGCGGGAGGAAGAGGAGCAACAGATTTTTGCTAAGGTGACAGGGAAGATAATATTCTAGAAGAAGAAGAGCAAAAGGGGAGGACAGGTAAAGGCAAGTGATTGGGGGTTGGGGGGAAGGTTGACAGGTTTTTAAATTGCTGCATACAAATCTGATGATCTGAAATATAAACCCCACCTAATTCATAATGCAAAGTTAATTTTTTTTAAAAGAATAAAGTCAAAAACAGAAAATGGAGGGGGAAAAGGAGCAAAAGGGAACAAAGAATAACTATAAACAACAAAAGTGAAAAGCAATCAGTAAGATGATTGTTTCAAACAATTTTTTTAGAGGTTACACCATCACTTTCAGATAGTTCAAAATGCTATTTAATATCTCTTGCGCTTTCTTCATTCACCCATGAATTATTTTAGAAATCAATTAAATAGTTTCCAAGCATTTGGCATTTTCCCGGTATCTTTCTATTGTTGATTTCTAACTAGGTTTTTAACAGGAAGCGTCAAAACGTTAGTGGAAGAATGAAATGAAAAGACTACAAATTTCTTCCCAAACTTTTTTATGCTCTTTTCATACTATGCTCAGAAAATAAATTTTATATGGTTCTAATTCTTTTATAACCTAGAATTTGATCTGTCTTGGTAAATGATCCATGTGCCTGATTCTGTTGTTGGTATTCTATGAACGTCAATTAGGTAAAGATACTTTGATAATGTTATTCAAGTCTTGTTTTTCTGTTTGGTACATTGAGAAAGTGCTGAAAACTGCAACTCAAATCAAGGCGGTGTCTATATCTCTTCTCAGTAAATTTTTGCTTCATGTATTTTGAAGCTATTATTAGGGAAACAAATACATAAAACCATCACATCCTCTGGTTAACTGACCGATGTAATATAAATGACACTCTTTATCATTATAAAACACTGATGGTTGAGACTAATTTTGAAGAATGTTCACAGATGAGACTGAAGCAACCATTAAGCTAATACAATTTCTTTTTCCCAGCTTATGAGTGAACCTTATGTTTATAAAACATACTTACTGTATCATCAAGACCATCTATATGCAAAACCACTGTTTTGGCACGTTTGTTGGTGGTGCCCAGAAAAAACTGCGCTTTCCTGCGACGTGAATTCATTTCATTGTAGCTATCACCATCTGCCATATTCGCGGACTGAAGAAGGTCATAGATTTCAGAGGCCAGCAGTTTCGTTTCCCCTGGAGTTGTAGTCCTTGGACAAGAAAAACATATAAATGAATAAGTAAATACGTTGGACATTTCTATTGATACCTTTCCCCTTAATTTTATGGAAAGCGGTTTCCTTCTTTCTGATGTTTTGTTTAACTTTAAAGCAATTGTAGTAGTTCCAATAATAACCAATAGTGTAGACAATGCATTAGTCTGCAACATATTTTTCTAATTCTATGTTTTAAACCTACTATTTCTGATACTCAAAACACTTCACTCCAGAACCAACCTAACTCACTGCCGTCAAGTCGCGGGTGACTCTAGCAACTGCACAGGGCAAGGCAGACCTGACCCTGTGCGCTTCTGAGACTAACTTTGTGGGAGTAGAAAGCCCCGTCTTTCTCCCCAGCAGTGGCTGGTGGTTTGGGACCAGCTGCTGAGCAACCGCTACTGAGGAATAAATGCATGAAAATAAACAATCAGGAGAGCATGATCCTGGATGAACTAACAGTCAACACCCTGCACATCAAGAAAGTATGACAAAGAAATAGCCCAAAGGAGCATAGCAAACAAATTAGGATGGAGTAATTAGTAAAATTAGAATGAATTTCAAGGAGACTGAGTAAATTCAAACTCTTTTTTACAATGACAGAAATACTCTATATCTGAGCTGTCTATATAGCTACTCCCTTCACATGCTATTGAGTACTTAGAATAAGGGCTAATACAACTAAAGAAATAAATTTTATTTAATTTTTTTATCATTTTATTGGGGGGGGCTCTTAAAAATCTTATGATAATCCATCATTCAATTGTATTAAGCACACTTGCACACGTTACCATCAACATTTCCAAAACATTTTCTTTCTACTTGAGGCCTTGGTATCAGCTCATTTCCCCCCCTTCCCTCCCCACTCCCTGCTGAACCCTTGATGATTTATAAATTATCATTTTGTCCTATCTTACACAGTCCAATGTCTCCCTTCATCTTCTTTTCTGTTGTCCGTCCCCCAGGGAGGAGGTTATATGTACATCCCTGTAATCACTTCCCCGTTTCCGCCTCACCCTCCTGATATCACCTTTCACCACTCGTCCTGAAGGGATCATCTGTCCTGGATTCCCTGTGTTTCCAGTTCCTATCTGGACCAGTGTACATCCTCTGGTCTAGCCGGATTTGTAAGGTAGAACTGGGATCATGATAATGGGTCTTCTACTTTTTCAATACTCTTTTACTTTACCAAACATGATTTTCTTTTTCAGGGACTAGTCTCTCCTGATAACATGTCCAAAGCACATGAGACAGTCTCGCCATCCTTTGTTCTAGAGAGTATTCCAGCTGTACTTTTCCATGACAAATCTGTTTGTTCTTCTGGCAGTCCACGGTACTTTCGATTCTTGGTCAACACCACAATTCAAATGCATCAGTTTTTCTGCGGTCTTCCTTATTCACTGTCCAGAGTTTGCATGCATATGAGGTAACTGAAAATACTGTGGGCTTGGGTCAGGCGCACCTCAGTCCTCAAAGTGACATCCTTGCTCTTCACGAACAGGTGTATGAATACCCAAGTTCATGCCAGCACTATTCACAATAGCAAAAATGACATAAATAACCTAAAGGACTACAAGCAGAATGGATAAATAAACTATGGCACCTACACACAAGGAAATGCAGGCAACACTAAAGAATAATGGTGAGACTGCAAAGCACAGCATAACATGGATGCACCTGGAGAACATTAGGCTGAATGAAATTAGTCGGCCACAAAAGGACCATGATTGTAAAACTCAAGATTTTCACAGTAACTGAAACATTCTTTGAGGGTTACTAGGGTGGGAGGGTATATTACTAGCTGGAGGCTCAAAGCATCTTAACTTGGGTGAAGGGGAAGGCAGTGCAATAAGAGGAGAGTCAGCAAAACGTAAGTGAGGCAGAGGAAGACACTGGGAGGTTTAGAAGAATTAAAGTAACAGGTGAATACTATTACAGATACAATCCTGCAATGACTCTGATGTACAATGGATATATGGGAGTAGGACACAGCCACAAATACATGTCCATATACAGATTTGACAGACTATTTCTTTTTCTGTGTTTACCTATGTTGCAAAGAAATTAAAACTTTTTACACAGAATCAAACACCTTGAGGGAATGAGTCACAGGATGCAAGAGTTAAGGACTGTAGTTTTGGGGGACAGGTCAACTAGCATAACACAGTTTACAAAGACAGTGTTCTACAGCCTACTGAAGGGAGTATTAGCTGGAGTCTTAAAAGCCTGTGAGTGGCCATCTAAGGCACAATGAATGGACACTACCAACTGCTCTGGTAGAAGATCCTAGATGAAGTAGGAATGTGGAAAACTCAAAATTCATTAAAACACACACAAGTTTACTAGTCAGATACGAGACTGGAGAACCCCTCAACATGGCCCTCTGGAAGTGAACTTATCTCCATAGCTCCACTTTCAGCCAAATAACAGACAACTCTATAACGGGAACAAGAACACTGGCGGTACACGCTGCTTAGAATAAGCAATCATGGGAAACCCAAGGGCAGCATTTGCTCAAGGACTAAGTTTAGAAGGCCTGCCGTGTGAAGAAAGGAGGAGGAATGGGAACAGGAAACAACGGGGGGAGGCAGAGTAAGTGCTGTTTTATTACGGCAACTGCAGATCGAGGTCACAAACAATACATGGATGGATTAGCGAATGCAAAGCAGATATGCTGTATAGTTTCACCCAATCCACGATAAACTCCACCAAAAAACAAGCTCCCTGCCACTGAGCTAATTCCCCCTCACGGAAACCCTACAGCCCGGAACAGAGCTGGACATGTGAGCTTCAAAGATACCTAACTCTCTGCGGGAGTAGAAAGCCCATCTATCTCCCAAGGAGCAGCGGGTGGTATTAAACTGCTGACCATGCAGTTAGCACCCCAACGCATAACCACTACACCACCAGGCTCCTCATGAAACAAAGTTTGAAAAAAACATACACTTGCACGTTAAAGATACAAAAAGAAACACTCATTTCATAACCACTACACCACCAGGCTCCTCATGAAACAAAGTTTAAGAAAAACATACTACATTAAAGATACAAAAAGAAACACTCATTTCAACTAGATGGTGCCCAGCTACCAGAACCAGCCACTCTGGTCAAGGTCATAATAGAAGCACCAGGACAGGGTGGGAGAAAAATGGAGAACAAAACATGAAGTCATAAAAAATAAACATTCGACTTAACAGTTGGACAGAAATTAGTGCAACTCCTGAGATGGTGGTTCTTTTCTTTGTCAATCGTTTTATTAGGAACTCATACAACTCATCACAATCCATACATACATCAATTGTGTAAAGCGCATTTGTACATTCATTGCCCTCATCATTCTCAAAACATTTCCTCTCCACTTAAGCCCCCAGCATTCTTGCCCTGTCCGACTCTCCCTTCACTCACTTTTCTGTTGTCCATCCCCCAGGGAGGAGGTCACATGTAGATCCTTGTAATCAGTTCCCCCTTTCCAACCCATCTTCCCTCTACCCTCCCAGTGTAACTACTTACACCACTGGTCCTGAAGGGATCATCCACTCTGGATTCCCTATGTTTCCAGTTCCTATCTGTACCAGTGTACATCCTCTGGTCTAACCAGACTTGCAAGGTAGAATTCGTATCATGATAATGGGGCGGGGGAGGAGGCATTTAGGAACTAGAGGAAAGTTGTATTTTTCATCGTTGCTGTATCGCACCCTGACTGGCTCGTCTCCTCCCGGAGACCCCTCTGCAAGGGGATCTCCAGTGGCCTACAAATGGGCTTTGGGTCTCCACTCCGTGCTCCCCCCAACATCCACTATGGTAAGATTTTTTGTTCTGATGATGCCTTATACCTGATACCTTCGACAGCTCGTGATTGCACAGGCTGGTGTGCTTCTTCCATGTGGGCTTTGTTGCTTCTGAGGTAGATGGCTGCTTGTTTACCTTCAAGCCTTTAAGACCCCAGATGCTATACCTTTTGATAGCCGGGCACCATCAGCTTTCTTTCTTAGCTCAGAAGCAACAAAGCCTGCATGGAAGAAACACACCAGCCTGTGTGATCACGAGGCGCTGAAGGGATCAGTTATCAGAGAACAAAAAAGCATAATTGTGTGCTCATCTCCTTGATAGGATCACTGAAGATAAATGGGTGCAGAAGCAAATGTGGCGAAGAAAGCTGATGGTGCCCGGCTATCAAAAGATACAGCGTCTGAGATGGTGGTTCTTAAAACAACTTGCAAACCTGGGGTGGACTCCCTGCTGGGGATCACCTTACAGTCTAAATATAGACAGAGCTATACAATGCATAAGACTACCTGAGAGTAAAATACTCCTCAGAACAATCAACTCGATGGCACTAAAAGAGTCATCTTTTTCCAAAACCAAAGTTCAGAAGGGAGAGAGGGGCAGGAAAGGTGAGTGAATGAATCAGGAAACCCAGCAAGTGGAGAGTGTTGTTACACTGAAGGGATTGCACGGCTTGTCAGCAAACAAAATGCATACAAATTGAGTGGGAAATGAATTTGTAACCTTCACCTATACGGCAAGAAAATATTAAAAAGCAAAACAACCCCCCAAAACCCACTCTTTAAAAATATATTATCCCTAGAGGAGTGACAGTATGTTTTTAAGTACTTTACATATTTCCTAAATCAGGGGTCCTCAAACTATGGCCCGCGGGCCCCGAGGGCATTTATCCGGCCCACCAGGTGTTTTTGCCCCGTTTGTTTTTTCACTTCAAAATAAGATATGTGCAGTGTGCATAGAAATTTGTTCGTAGTTTTTGTTTTTAAACTATTGTCCGGCCCTCCAACAGGTCTGAGGGACAGTGAACTGGCCCCGTTTAAAAAGTTTGAGGACCCCATAAACCACATACTATATACTTGTAAAAAGATTGTAAAGTGACATAGAAAATGGAAGGATGCAGGGGAAAAGTGTAAGAAAAGACAGTTCATGGGACTGTACAATCCATTCATTTGCCATAAAATAGTTCAAGTTTACGTTCTATCTCCCAG